GGGGGGGACCCAGCAAGCCCCCCCCTGCGCAGCGCTGCCCGCCTGCCCCAGGTCATGCAGCTGCTGGCGCGAGGGAACAGGCAGCGGACGCAGGAGCCCACGGCCGCCAACCGCACTTCGTCACGCTCCCACGCGGTGCTGCAGGTCACCGTGCGCCGGCGGCACCGGGGCAGGGGGCTGCGCCACGGCCGCCTCTTTATGATTGACCTGGCAGGCTCTGAGCGGGCGGCACAGGTACGGCACCCGCCTGGGGGGCTGCAGGGCCGGGAAGCCCCCCCGTCCCCTCTTTTGCCAGGTTTTTCCCTCTGCCTTCCCCTCCCTGCCCAGACGCAGAACCGCGGGCAGAGGATGAAGGAGGGAGCCCACATCAACCGCTCACTGCTGGCCCTGGGCAACTGCATCAAGGCCCTGAGCCACCGGGCGAGCACCAAGTACATCAACTACCGTGACAGCAAGCTGACCCGCCTGCTCAAGGTGCGGCCGGGGGTCCTGGCTCCCCCCAGCATAGTCCGAACTGGGGAGGGGGCACAGGCTCCCCCCGCCCCAGTCCCTCTTAGCCATGCTTGCTCCCCGTGGCCAGGACTCGCTTGGGGGCAACAGCCACACAGTGATGATCGCCCACATCAGCCCAGCCAGCACCACTTTCGAAGAGTCCCGCAGCACCCTTGCCTATGCCCACCGTGCCAAGAGCATCCGCGCCACGGTAGGGCCGGGAACACGGGCACCCTCCTCCCCTGGACCCCAGCCATCCCCTGGCCCCCTCCCCAAGCAGCCTTGGCCTCGCTGCTCCCCAACAAGGAGGGTATGAGGAGTTCACCCCTATGGCACTCCAGGGGTGCCCAGCGTAGGGAAACTGCTTAGGGTACTGCTCTGCCGGCTGTGGGATGCTCAGGATCTGCTCCATGGCCATGTGCTTGGGAATCCTATGGAGAGACAGCCATTCTCTGCCTGGGGACCTTGCTTGGGGATCCTACTCAGAGACATACCTGGGGACCTGCTCCACCATCTCTGTCCCGCTTGGGACCCTATTTGGGGACCGTCTTCAGGGATCCTACTTGGGGACCTTCTCCATCAGCCATGCCCTGCTCAGGGACCCTGTTTGGGGCCGGGCTGTGCCGGGGCCATGGGACATTCACACCGGCCCCATCCCAGGTGAGGCACAACCTGGTCAGCGTCTCGTACAGCGTCATGGCTGACCTGCGCAGGGAGATCCAGCACCTCAAGGGCCAGGGGGATGCCGAGCCAGGGCGGCCAGGGCAGGGCGAGCACCAGGACATCCCCTACATCCAGGGTACAGCACGGCCCCCCACCCTCCCACGGCCCCCCCAGGGCTCCACGCTGATGCCTCGTGTCTCCAGCCCAGGTTCGGCCACGTGGTACCCACCCGGAGCTGGGCTGTGTGCAGGAGAAGATGCTCGGTGCCAGCCGGGAGTGGGCAGCCCTGCGCCACCACCTCCTCCGGCTGGAGGGCACCGCGCTGCATGCCCAGCAGCTCCTCGCCCTCACCCGGTACATGAGTGTGAAGCCCCCTGCCCCAGGATGGGGTCCCCCAGTGAGCCAGGCTGGGGGGTGAGACCACGTCTTCCTCCCCGCAGCAGGATGCTACGAGGCCAGCAGTGGAGCGAGGAGGGGCAGGGGGAGCCGGACGGTCCCGGTGACGGAGAGGGGGACTCGGACACAGGGGATGAGTGGTTGGACGTGCCAGAGCCACCCGACGTGGCTGTTGCCCACGAGAACATCGCAGCTCTGCTGGAGGAGCAGGGCAGGCTCCAGCAGCGGAAGGTTTGGGAGCCCTGTCCCCACCGGCAGCAGCTGAAACCCCATCACTAGGGAGCTGAGTTTGATGAGTCTCAGCCCAGCAGCACAGGGGTCCCCCAGCAGCCCCAAGGGGGACATGGATACTCACGGACTGGGATGTGGGTCAGGGGCAGGGGGCCCTGGCAGGGATGCTGATCCCGTGGCGGGAATGCTGGCCGTGGGCAGGGACGGTGACCCCGCTGCGTGCCCGCAGGCAGAGCTGGCGTGGCGTTTCCGGCAAAGCCAGCAGCACGCGCAGCGGCTGGAGGAGGCCCTGCGGTGTCGGAGCAGCTCGGAGGAGCAGCAGGAGGTGCTGGCCCTGCTGTGCCACCTGCACCAGCTGGAGCTGGATTTGGCAGAGACGCGGTCCCACACCCTGCTCGAGGGTGGCCTCCGGCACCCGCCGGCTGCCGCCACACGACGCTTCAACCGGCACCGGGTCCTCTGCGCCCGCATCATCCAGCAGCAGCAGCAGCTCATCGCCGGTGCGTCCCTCCTGTGACTTCTGCTGTGGCAAGGGGGGGGTCTCACGCGTGTTGTCGCGCTGGGAGTCCTGCAGTGTCACCGGGTTATTGCAATGGGACCTGCCGCAATGCAAAGTCCCCCCTGGTGTCGCGACATACTCACGATGCTGCCACCTGAGCCCGGCGTGGCGTGGTATGTGGGCCGGTTGATGCCCTCCACCCTGCCCTCTCGCTGGCAGACCACCGGCTGTCGGTGCCGCGGTCGCTGGAGGAGCTGTACCAGACCTACCTGCAGGAGCTGACGGGCGACCCTAGGGATGCCAGCACCCTCAAGGTAGGGCAGGGTGGCCCCAGCCCCCCGCTGCACCTTAAACAAGGCACTGACCCCCCGTCCTCCACCCAGGGCACATCCCTGCCCAAGATCCCGCAGGCGAGCGGCGCGGAGAGCCGGCCAGACTCGGACCGGGACAGCGTGCAGGCACAGAGCTGTGAGCACCCCACACCACCGCGGCAGGGACCTTGCCGTGACACCCTCCCACCCCTGCGCCCCACAGGGGACAGGTAAGTTTGGGCATCCACCCCCCTCCATGGGCAGGGGGCTCCCGCCCTGGTAGAGGGTAAGGGGTGTCCCCTCTCCAGCAGCCCCCCGACCCCCATGTTCAGGAAGACCCTGCAGGAGCAGCAGCTGGGGAGCACGGCGGTTGTGCCCACCCCACCTCCCGGCTGTGGCACAGCGGCCCAGGCGGTGAGCACAGCTGTGCCCGCAGCACCGCAGCCCCAAGGTGGGGATGCTTACGGGTGCCGTGTGTTCCGGCAAAGCGTACCACGGGCCAGTCTGAGCACCCGGCGCGACTGCTCCCTGGGCAGTGGGACCAGTTCAGAGGCGACACTGGCAGCAGGCAGGGGTGAGCCGAGCAGCCGGCGGGGCTGGGTGGGTGGCTGTGCCCTGCTGATGGGTGCCGCTGTGCCGCAGAACGCCAGGAGATGTCAAGCAGCACCAAGAGCATCGTGGCTAAGGCTGCCCGGTGCCGGTCCCGCAACTCGGAGAGCACCCACCCGCACCCACCGGGGCCCATGGAGGAGCAGGGTGGTCCCCGGCTGCGGCACGCTGGCAGCGAGGACAGCCGGGCAGGGACGGCCACCCGCTCCTTGGGGACCTGGCTGCGGGTGTGCAAGGGCAGCAGGGAGCCAGGGAGGATGGAGGAGTCGCCGGATGGCAGAAGGAGATCCAGGTGGTCACGCTCCTTCGAGGTGACCAGCTGTGGGGTAGGTGCAGGCACGGGGTAGGGGGGGGGCCGTGCCCCTGGCGAGGTGGCACTGACTTGACCCGGGAGGTGGTGGGGCTGTGGGAGAGCGGAGCCAGCGGCGATGCCATGCCCTGGGGAGAAGGGCAGGGTGGGAAGGCCACTACCAGCTCCCCTTGGCATCCTTTTGCCCACCATCGGGGTGTCAGCGCCCTTTGGTGTGTGTCCCCCACTCACGTCACAGTTCCTCCCCAAAGCGCCGTGCCCATGGACCCTCTCTCCGGCAGCCAGCGACCCCCAGGGGCTCCCTGCTGCCGTCCCCAGCGCTGCAGAGCTGCTCTGAGCATGCCATGCTGGTAGGGGTGCTGGCAGCCAGAACTCGGGGACCCCCCAGAGCCATCCCTGCAAGAAAGCCCCCGCACAGCCAGCTGCCAGGTGAGCCCCCAGCAGGGAACAGGGTGCAGGGGCCATCGCCCCCACCCTGTGCCCCAGCCCAGCACCCCTTCCCCAGGTGCTGGGGTCCCGTCTCTGCCTCTCCCCCTCCAGCTCCCCAGCACCTCCAGGAAGGGCCAGCACCCGCTGCTCGGCTGCGTCACCAGGAACAGTGCCAGGGCCCCTGGCAAGGACAGATGGAGTCACCGGTACTGAGCCAAGTGCCTTGCCGGAGAGGGGCCGGATCCTGTGCCAAGCCAGCGGGCTGAGCGCCCGTCCAGCCAGCCCCAGCACCGTGTGGCATCCCCCGTGCTGAGGGCTGCCTGCGGCACCCCGTTCCCCTGCAGCCCCCCGGTGCCAACCCTGCTGGGGGCGAGGGGCAGGGGACCAGGTGTCCCCATGCCAAACCCACCCCAAGGCAGGGACCCAAGTCCCCGGGGAAGGACGCAGCCGTGCTGAGCAGTGACCCCAGCCGGAGCCATGCGGCTGCTTGGGGAAGGACCCCTGTGGGTGCTCAGCACCCGGGGGACACAGCCACCCACCCAGCACCGCCAGGTACCGATGGGGCCACCTGGGTGCAGGGCATCCGAAGGGGTCTTTGTCCTTCCGAGGGGTTACATTAAAAGGAGACGTGCTGAGCTGGGGAGTAGTGTGACTGCTGTGCACAGCCCGACGTGCCCCTGCCCATCCCCAACGACAGGGAACCCCCCAAAGATGCCCCCGCACTCCCCACACTCATTTTCTGCTTTTATTTGGAAAGGGGGGTGGGGGGGTGCCCGGGCAGGGATGGGGCAGCTGCCGGCCATGAGCAGGGTCGGTGCCCCTCGAGCCTCCTCTGCCAGGGGACGCAGCCGGACCACCCGCCCCAGCCTGGGCACGCACCCAGCTCACCACCGAGCCCTGGGTGCTGCTGCCAGGGTACCCATGCCGGCAGCTGGATCCAGCGCCGCCACCTTGCTGCCTGGTACAGAGGGACCCCAGTGCCACAGGGATGGCATCACAGGAGGGACGGGCTGTCTCTGTCCCCATCCTCTCGCCCATTGCGGTTTGTGAGCCCAGGACGTGCCCGTGGCCGTGGACTGCACATTTCGCCTCCTGTACCACCTGCACAGGGCTGGGGGGCTCCCAGTGTCCCCTGTCCCCAGCTCCCTGCAGGCATCCAGGGATGGCAATGGGGACAGAAGGTGGCAGGGGGACAATGGCGGAGGGGTGGGCGGCAGAGAGCAGCCCTGGGGTCCCCCCCCAGCACGGGGACCTCCGTCTACCTAGGAGCAGGAGGACCAAGCGCAATCCCCCCTGTGGGGCTGGGGACAGTCCGGCGGCAGGACCCGGCTCTGCCTCATTACTTCTTCACTTTGATGAGGGAGTGGTAGATGGGCTTGATGATGATGTGGAGGTGCAAGGAGTTGTCGATGAGGTACTCGGAGGTGCGCTTCTGCAAGTCGGCGTGGGCGAGGAAATCGGCCGCCTCGTCCGAGCTCTGGTGGAAGCTGTAGGCGTGCTTCACCAAGACGCGGCCCTGCTGCCGCACGCCCACCAGCACCGTCTTCTGGAAGCTGACACCAGCAAAGTCGGGGCTGCTCATGGCCGGGGTGATGACGAGCCGCGGGCGACCATCCTCGATGCGCACCGGCTGGACGGCACCCGAGACCGAGTCCGAGTAGACGGGACGCAGGCTGACGGGCAGCCAGCGCGGCGAGAAGAGAACGTTCCAGGTCACCCGCTTACCGGCGTCGTGGCTGCTGGGACCCAGCTGGGTCTGGAAGCTGGTGCTGCGGTCATCCCGTGCCGGGTTGTTGATGATCCACTGGGAGCCCCAGCTGGGTGCGAGGTAGTTGCGGGGCAGGAACATGCTGCAGTTGACATCGAAATACTTGGCAAAATGGAGGGGGGAGGCGGCGTGGAACTGGAAAGCCTGGAAAAGCAGGTCCTGCACCGCGCTGTAGTGCCGCACCAGCACCGCCGACTGCGCCTGCAGCCGGAAGAGCTGGCTGGGCGCGATCATGGGGTAGCGGATGGCGCGCAGCACCCGTTCGGCCACGGGACCCTCGGGCTGCCAGCGATTCAGCCAGCCCTCCACGGCGGTGTAGAGCTCCAGCTCGCTGTGCAGCACCAGGTCGGAGCGTTCCAGCAGCAGCAGCAGCAGCTCCACGCTCACCGAGCCCCACTCCGCGCTGCCCAGCACGGCCGAGAGGTTCCAGGCCAGGAACTGGAGGCAGCTCTCCTGCAGCGCCGAGTCCCCGATACGCACGGCATAGTGGTACCAGGCCACCACGTGGCCCTGGCTCGACTCGCTGGCCAGGTGGGTCTTCATGTAGTCGGCCACGCCGCGCTGCAGCCCCCACACCCGGTACTTGCTGGCCAGCTGGTGCATGGGGATGGCTTGGTGCAGCAGGATGGAGACCCCCCCGCAGTACAGGTACCTGGGGCAGAGTGCAGGGTGGTGACGCTGGTGTCCCCCGATCCCCTTCCCTGACCAGCTGCAGGGTCTGGTAGCGCGGTCCCCAGGGGAGCATCCCCCCTCCTTGGCCACATCCCTCTGGGTATCCCCATCCCATGGGGTCCCCAGGGGAGCATCCCCCCTCCTTGGCCACATCCCTCTGGGTATCCCCATCCCATGGGGTCCCCAGGGGAGCATCCTCCCTCCTTGGCTGCATCCCTCCCAACATGCCCATCTCATGGGTCCCTGTGGTCCCCAAGGGAACATTTCCCCTCCCTGGCTGCATCCCCCTGGGCATCCCCATCCTGTGGGGTTCCCACGGTCCCCAGGGGAGCTACATCCCTCCTGATGTCCCCATCCCATGGGGTCCCCACGTACCTGATAAACTTCTCAAAGAGCGCAGCAGTCTCGGCCGGCTCGTGCAGGGTGATGACACTCTGGTTGCGCAGGAGGCTCTCGAAGACCTCGCTCTGGAGGCTGAGCAGCAGCTGGTGGGTGTGAAAGACCTTGGCCTCGTCGGAGGCGGCCGTGCGCACCCGCAGCACCGTGTCACTGCCGTTGCCGTTCTGCAGCAGCTCCTGCAGCCGCTGCAGCAGCGTCAGCGAGTGGTTGATGGTGGCCGCCGTGGCATCGCCGCTAAGGTCGGCTTTCTGGGCTGTGGGGAGACAGGACCGTCCCTGTGCTGCTCCCTGGGATCTCAGCACGGGGTGCAGGGGCATGGCAGAGCGGGGCCCAGCTGTGGGGCGATGCATGGTTGACAGGGGGCTGGGGTTCTGTGTGCATCCTCCCTCCGCTCTCCCCAGTGCCGAAGGGCTGGCTGGTGCCAAGGGGGTGTGGGGAGGATGAGGGGACATGGGGACATTTGTGTCCTTAGGAGACAAAAAACTTCTTTTCTGCAGCAGAAGGGGTGAGACCACCATGTCCCAGGCTGGGACGTGCTGGGAAATGGCCCTGTGCCGGGCAGCGCTGGCTCGCAGCCCGGTCTGCCAGCCCCAATCCCATCCCTGCTGAGGGCAGAGCAAGCCCTGGGCATTGCCCCCGACCCCCCACGTCCCGGATTGACACATGGGGCACACGAGAGCCTGTGAGTGTGGGGAGCCAGGCACGCTCTGCTGCCGCACCCAGGGACGGCATTCCCGCGGTCCGAGCAGCCTGGGGACATCGGCTGCCCCAGCATCGCTGCAGGTCAGTGCCGCTGAGCAGGCAGCTGCCGTACTGTGCCTGCGCCCCGTGCGATCCCTGCCTCCTCGCTGATGCCGTGAACTGGCATCTCCTGCCTGGCAAAGTTTCGCTCCCCTCCTCCAGCTGTGTGTGCTGGCAGCCCAACCTGGTCCCAGCTTTGGCACACACTGGGGGCAACCGTCCCCCCGTGTCCGTGTCCCTGCAGTGGCAGGCTCCCAGTGGGGACATGGACCAAGGCAGGGGTCTCCGTGCTCCTGCAGGCACAAGGAGCCTTCCTCCCTCTCCTCCTCTCCCTCATGCCTAGCACAACTCCCACGCCCTCCCCAGAGCATCCTTCCCCCAGGGTGAATTTGGCCCCATCTCTCTCAAATCCCTATCTTGCCGGCCAGTGAGCCGGCGGATTACCCTTCCCAGCGACGGCTTAAGTCCGGCTGAGCGGGGAAGGGGATCGGGAGCCCCTCACCCCGTGGTGCCAGACATCGATGCCCGCAGCACCGAGCCTTCCCTGGGCTGCGGCGAGTGCAGCCCGGCTTTTACCCCCTGGCACCTTCTGGGTGCCGTGGCACATGGCTGTGGGGCACGGCACATCCAGGAGCCGCATCCATCCCTCCCGAGGTGCCGCGACGGCTGCTGAAGAACCGTGCTCAGCCTCCCGCAGGCATCACCGGCCACCCGTGCTGCGGCCGAGCCCTACGCCGGCACCCGGCGAGGCCAGCGGGACCCACAGCACGGGGGTCCCTCCACGTCTCCCCCCGGCACAGCTACCCTTACCGGCTTGCACGGTGAGGAGGAGGAGGAGGAAGGCAGCGGCGGCGCAGCCCCAACGGCGAGCAGCTACGGGCTGGCTGCCCGTCAGCCTGGCCATGGCTTCGCAAGCGCATCTGCCGGATTTCGGCGCGGCACGGGCGTGCGGTGCCCGCCTGGCGTTTATGTAGGCCACGAGCCCTCCCAGCCCGCGCGCCCGCGCCGCCACATCGATTGGTGGAAACTGGGACCGGCCGTTACCAAGGGAACTGCTTCCAGCCCCCGTCCATCCCACACTGACCCCGGACCCCAGCCTCGCACCCTAGCGTGGCGTGACGGGGTGTGACCCGGTGAGCCCCAGCGTGGCATGGGGGCATCTCCATTTGCCGCCTGTTCCCGCTGCCGCCGGGCACTGCCGTGTCGTGCCGCAGCCCTACGCCATGCCGGAGCCTCGTGCGTGGCCGCAGCCCTTTGTGCCGCCAGACCGCCGGGACGCGGCAGCGGGGTCTTTGCATTCAGGGCACAGCTCACCGTGGCCTCCCCGCTCCCCCCCGGCTCATGGGTATTCATGCCGGCAGCAGACCATCACCATGGCATCCGGGCTGCCGGCAGGAACTGCCTGCCCTTTTCCCAGCCTTTGCAGCCAAGAGGCTGCCTGCACCGTGCGGGTGCCCTGTGCCGGCCCCCGCTGGCACCTCGCCCACCCCGATGGCTCTTGGGGGGGCTTCGCAATGGAGCCAGGGCGGTGTTTGCCCCCCTCGTAACTCTGGTGCCACACGCCGTGGCCAGTGCGGCTCAGGCACGGGGCTGGGGGTGGTGCTGGGTGCCCCCACCCTGCTGCAGGAGATGGGCACCTTTGTGGAAGCATTTGCTGGCAAGCGGAGCGGGGAGTGTCTGCACCCCACTTTTGGCCCCAGTAGTACTGTGGGGTGGGGAGCCAGGACTGGGACCCCCAGCCAGGACAACAGACCCCACAAACGGCGGCAGCGTGGCTCACGCGGGTACGGCAGTCCCTTACCCCCCCACCCGGCCTCCCCGTGAAGGCGGCGGGGGGCTGCCATGCCGGGCAGCAGCCCCCCCTGCCCCACAGCTTGGTGCTCCCTGGGCAGGAGCTGCTGGGCACCGTACTCAGCCCCCAGGGTGCAGGAGGACCCTGCATGCCATGGGAGGCAGCGCCTGGGCCCCCCCCTCCTGGGGACACCACCGGGGAGATGCTGTCACCTTCAGCATGTGGCAGTGCCGGAGCCACGTGGGGGGATATTAACGGTTCCCGGTTATCGAGTGAGTATCTGTCCAGGCTGACGGGATTAGCGCCGGTGCTCATGGTATTGCAGCTCTGTGTTCAGCTGCTGAGCGAGGTGACAGCGTGGTGTGGCTGGTGCCCGTTTCACGCCCTGCTCCCTCCCCGGGACCCATGGGGAGATGCCATGCCATGACCGGTGCTGCCAGCACCAGCACCCTGCAGCAGGAGGGACGCCGTGCCATAGCCAGTGGGATGGGGGAGCGAGCGGTTTGCGGGGCAAAGGCAGCCCACTGTGCATGCAGTGGGGTAGGATGGTGGTGGCTGGGGCTCTGTGCCAGGCAGGGGGGCTCTGGCCGAGCGGGGGGTGCTCAGCCTATCTGCCCCTTTGCATCAGCTTGCCCAGCCCTGGCCTGGTGCCACCCGGTGCTGCCACCGCAGCCAGGGGCTGCTTTTGTGCCGGTGAGGGCTTCTGAGGACAGGTTCTTTTTGGGCCCACGTGGGAGCTGGAGCCAGAGCACCTGCATCCCTGAGGAGGATGGAGACGTGGGGCCGAGGAGCCCCATCTCCGAGCACAGCCATGGCCCGGGGGGGGCGAGCCAGGGGCCTGGGTTTAGACAGGGTCTCCAGATGTTGAGCATGGGCAGATGTTGCCGCAGCTCCTGGGGGGATGGGGATCACCCATCTGGCCCTGACCCACGGGTGGAGGGGCTGGGGACAAGCCGCCCGGCCAGCACTGTGCCGTGGTCCTGGGGCTCCCCAGCCCCTCGCAGGGACAGGCAGGCGATGCCATGCCTGGCTTGGGGCTGGGGCTCGAGCTCCGTGGCCCCATGGGGCAGGGGAGCCCCAAGAGCACGGTGCAAGCAGAGCACACAGCCTGGGTGGGCATTCCTGCATCACGGCGAGGCGCAGGCCAGCTGGGGAATGAGGGGCCCCCGCCGTGGCACAGCCGGTTAATGGCTCACCGCATCCACCGATGCCTCATTTAACCACCTGCCTGCAAAACAACAGCTTGCCGGGAGCGTGTGCCTGGTGAGTTGCCGGCACGGTGCCAGCCCACGCTACACCCTACGGCCCAGGGACCCTCGTGTGTCCCCCACAGGGGCATCAGCTGGCTACAGGTCAGGGTGGCATGGGCTGCGGGCCATGGGGGGACAATGGGGCCGGTGCTGGGGGTCACAAGGAGACAGGGCATCCATCCCCCAGCCCCTGGTGAGATGAAGAGAGCAGCTGTGCTGGCCCCAGTAATTGCGGCTGTGGCGGCGGAGGTTTGGCTCACCATAGCGACCTGTGCCAGGAGGCTCCTGCCGGCCCCGCGGCTGTGCGCAAGGCATTACCCCCGTGGGCTGGGGGGCATTGGGGAAGCAGGGGGGAGTCAGGGGGCTAGGTGGCCCCAGGGACGGGCAGGGGACATCAGCCTTCCCACCCCTACCTGTGCTGCTGGGGAAACTGAGGCACGGGCAGGCTTTCCCTCCGCTTTGAGTCATCAGCGTGCCCTCTGCACGCCGGAGCTGTGCCAGTGGGCACCCAGGCACGCACAGAGCAAAGCCCAGCAGGGACACGCAGGGATTCACACACACACACGCATGCTCATGTGCACGGTCACTCAGACACACACAAACCCACTCCTCTCAGTCCCCGAAGGTGGCCGCGGACCCTGGCTGCCTGCTTGCAGAGAGCAGGGGGTGGGGAACCTGTGCCAGCCCCCCAGCACCTCACCAGGCTCGGGCAGCCCTGCCTGCCTGCACCCACCTCTGCCCAGCCCCGGCCCACCTCAGGGTGGGCAGCAAACCCAGAAACTGGGGCTCCGGCACCCAAAGGAGGGGAGCTGAGGGTCTGGGCACAGGAACGATGCACCCCAGCTTGGTGACACAGGCTTTTGTGTAAAATGGGGGGCCCGAGCTGTCCCCAAGCACATGGACCACCATCCCTATTGCTCTGGGGTGGGACGAGCTCTGTCACCATCATTCGGGGCTGGCACAGCACCCCAGGTGACCCCATCCTTGGCACCCATGGGAGCAGCGAGGCCCGGGGACGTCCTCCTGCCCCGCTAGCCCTGCCCGTGGCTCTGCCCATGCCGCTCTCCCTCCGCCCCGCGTCCCTCGCTCCCCGGGAGGCTGTGCGATGCTGCGGGTGCCGGAGGGGACACGGTCACCGACAGGGACACAGTCACCGGTGGGGACACGGCCACCAACTGGGACACAGCCATCCGCAAGGACACGGACACCGGTGGCTCTCCGGGCCCAGGGAAGGTGGCACCTCACGCCCAGCGGGTGGCACGGGGGCCACCAAGGTGAGAGCCCATCTTCCACAGGGCTTGGGGAGGGGGACCCCGGGCAGGGGGAGGCAAAGGGGGCACCAGACCGGACGCAGACCCCCACTCACAGAGCAAACAGGACCAGGGCTGAGAAAGGGTTAATGCGCTCCGGCCGCAGCTGCAGCAATCGATGCCCCAGTTCCCTGGGGGACATGAAGGGACTGGACTTGCCTCTGCTGATTAGCCAGATCTAATTTACAGTTAATTGGCGTCCCCCTGCACATCCCCAACCCCCAGCCCGGGGCTCTGCTCAGGATCCCTGCTTCCATCCCGGCCGGACGCAGCGGCCAAAGCCCCCCCGGGCTCCCGGGGCCGGGGAGAGGTGGGACCCCCCCCCCCCACCCCCCCACACCCACCCCCCCGGCCCGCCCCGGGGGGCAGGAACGGGACCAACGGCGGGGGGAGACGTGCCCCCCCCCCCGGCCCCGGAGCGGTCGGGGGTCTGCAGTGAGTGGGACTGGACCAGTTTGGGGGCCCTGTGGGGCCAGGGTCGGACTGGGACCCCAGCGGTGCCCAGTACCAGCCCCCCCCCCGGCTCAGGACACACCCCCCCCGGGCTCAGGACCCCCCCCTGCACCCCGCACCCTCCTCCGGCACTAGGGTCCGGGGGGGTCGCGGTCCCCCTCGGGAGATGCTAATATTTTTGGTAGTGGGGGTTTCTGACCAATCAGAACGCAGCGCTCAGGTTTAGCCTCCCCATTCTTGGAAGACGCTTCTCTGATTGGGTGAAGCCTGGACACCGGTAGCCAGTAGAAGCGCACGGCTCGGGAGGGGGGTGGTGCCGCCCGGCTTTATGAATGGTCGGGGGGCAGCGTGGGCCCGATCCGGGCGCGGGGCACGGGCAGGAGGGGTACGGGCAGGAGGGGTACGGGCAGGGCCGCTGCCTCATGCGGGCCTGCCTGAAGAGCTGGCAAAAGACCCGGCTGGCAGCCTGGAGGTGGCCAACCCCCCCTTGGCACCACTGGGACCCCCCCCCTTGACGCTGCTGGCACCCCCGTCCAGCACCTCTGGGTCTCCCTGCCACCGCTGGGTCCCGGCGGGTGGCACCCAGCCCGGGTCGGGAGCCAGGACCAAAACCCCCCCTGCAGCCCCCCAAGAACATGGTGTTTTAATCTGGTTTTCTTTGAGGCGGTAAACGGGGCCAAGGGGATAAACAAGGAGCATCTCCGGTAGCGGGGCCACCCTCCGCTCCAAGGATGGGGACTGTCACCCCAGTGTCTCCATGGGGACTGGATCCTGGGTCCCTTGTCCTGCAGCATCCATGGACAGCGGGCAGCTCCAAAATGTGCCGTTGCAGGCAGACATGGCGGCAGACCTGGGGCAACTGCACCCATGGGAGCCAACCCACCCCGAGCCCCCTGTGCCACATCCCAGCTGAGCCCCCACCCAGGTGCCACCAGGGCCCTTGGCCCCCTGACGCTGCCTGTGTCCCCTCGCAGCCAGTCCGTGGTGGAAGGCGATGGTCCCAGTGCCCAACAGCACGGCGGTGGTGTGGGCCAGTGAGGCGGCACAGCCGGAGCCGGAGCGGTCACCCTGCATGGTCGGCATCTTCCCCATCGTGTATTACAGCGTCCTACTGGGGTTGGGGCTGCCAGGTGAGGGGTCTGGGGCAGGGGGAGGCTGCCCAGGAGCGTGGGGGGCAGCAACCATCTTGCATCATCTGAGCTGTGCACCCTCAGCCCAGCCTGTGCCCTCAGCTGCCAGCAGAGCCTCAGCTCCTGTCCCAGACCCAGGGGTTTTGGGGATGGGGAGGAGAGTCCTCAGGGGTGGGGGGAAAACAACTTGCTCCCCCCAGCCTTAGGGCCAGCTGTGGTTCCCGGCTGTAAAGCCCAGCCCCACGTGGCAGGTGCCATGGCAGCAGGGACAGATGGTATTTGTGTTGCTTGGGCTGACACACAGAAGAGATTAATCAGCTCAGCAAATCCCCACCACACCGTGATATTTATAGCTCCCCACCCCAGCTGGGGCCTGGGGCTGCTTGCCCTGCGGCCCTGGGAGGGCCTGGGCACCCCTGGGGTCCCAGGTACTGCAGCGGGGGGGGGGCTGTGAGCCCCAGGGCCTCACCACCACACAACGCTCCCCTTCCTCCAGTGAACATCCTGACCGCTGTGGCCCTGTCCCGCCTGGCCACGAGGACCAAGAAGTCATCGTACTGGTACCTGCTGGCCCTGACCACCTCCGACATCCTCACCCAGGTCTTCATCATCTTTGTGGGCTTCATCCTGCAGACAGCCATCCTGGCCCGGGCAGTGCCCAGCGCCTTCATCCACACCGTCAATGTGCTGGAGTTCACGGCCAACCATGCCTCCATCTGGGTCACCGTCCTGCTGACCATGGACCGCTACGTGGCCCTCTGCCACCCGCTGCGGTACCGCACCGTCTCCTATCCCCAGCGCACCCGCAAGATCATCGCGGCTGTCTTCGGCGTGGCTCTGGCCACGGGCATCCCCTTCTACTGGTGGCTGGACGTGTGGCGTGACGCTGACCCCCCCACCGCCCTGGACACGGTGCTCAAGTGGGTGCACTGCGTCACCATCTACTTCTTGCCCTGCAGCATCTTCCTGGCCACCAACTCCATCATCATCTGCAAGCTGAAGCGGCGGAGGCGCTCGGGGGGTGGCCAACCCCGCCTGAGCAAGACCACGGCCCTCCTCCTGGCCGTCACCACCGTCTTCATCGTGCTCTGGGCTCCCCGGACCATTGTCATGATCTGCCACCTCTATGTGGCCTCGGTCAAGAGGGACTGGCGCATGCACCTGGCCTTGGACATTGCCAACATGGTGGCCATGCTCAACACCACCCTCAACTTCTTCCTCTACTGCTTTGTCAGCCAGACCTTCCGCCGCACGGTGGGCGAGGTGCTCCGGGCCCACCTCCGGCATGGTCCCCGACCCGGCAGCGGCCGCTTTCTGCCCCCAGCCCTAAAACCGCTGGAGCTGCTGGCTGGCACGGCCCTCTGAGCCAGGGCTGCTGCCAGCTGGGGCAGTGCTCGGCCGGGGGTCCCGGTACTCACCCAGCCCCATGCATCGCACCAGGACCCGGTGAGACCCTGCCCCAGGGATGCTGCCCCCGCGGCGCCCACCCTCCACGGAGCTGGGGGTTAACGCGGGTGCTGCTGGTGGTGGCAAGAGGAGGTGGTTGTGCCCAGCTGGCTGGTTGAGCTCTTTTGGGGCCATCGGGCTGCCCTGCCTGGCAGCAGCACCCACCGCACCCCAGGGACCCCTGCCCGCTCCCTGAGCCGCACCAGGATGGGCAGCTCAGCCCTGCCTGTGCTCAGCCCCTCAGGACACGCAGCCTTTGGCCCCCCAAGGAAATTCAGCCATGGGACAGCAAGGACGTGCCCCCAGCTCAGTGGCAGAAGCTGCTGCCTGCTCCACGTGTGCCCCCCTCAGGCTGGGCTCCTCTCCAGCCCTGTGGCTGTGGGGTTCATGGGGCTTCCACGGCCAGGGAGCGTGACCGTGCTCTCGACTGCTCTCCTGCATCAGCTCCAGCCCGTGCTGAACTGACGCACCAAAGGTCCCAGGGAATCCAGCGGGCATGGCTGCCCCATGGCGAGGGGTGACGGGTACAGGTGAGCTCCTGCAGGCCCTGGTGAGGACACGGTGCCGGCTGGGTGCCGGCGGGACGGTCCTTCCTCCATAAACTGCTGTGCTGAGGCCAAAACTCTGCCTGGGTCCAGCTCCCTGCAAATGGCCGGGACGGGGGCATCCTGCACCAGCAGCCCCAGGCACAGGGTCCCTCTGCCCCGTCCCGAGCTCTCAGCCCTGCCCACCCCAGTGCTCCTGCCCTGGTGCTCGGGGGGGGTGCTGGGAGGGAGCATCCATGGGGTCCCGCATCCCCAGCTGCAGGGCTTGGGCACACGGTAAGACCCCAGCTCTGGGCTCTGCAGGAGCTGGCCCCTACCTGTTATTCCCCCAGAGATAATCTGGGAGAGCCGCCCTGCAAGGCGGCAGCCCCTGGGCACCCCGGGTGTACCCCAGTGCAAGGGTGCAGCATCTCCCACCGGCTGCAAGGGCAGGGGCTTGTGATGCCCCCCCTGCATCAAGTGCACCCAGCACCAGTGCCCCCCTCCCGGTTACACCAGTGCCAAGCTGGTGCGATGCTGGGCCAGTGGCCGTGCCGTGCCAGCCTGCCTGTCCCCAGCTGCCACCAGAGGGCAGGGACAGGACGCCCTGCGGAGCTGGCACAGCCTGGGAGCAGGGAGCTGGCACCCCCAGCCGCCCCCCGCCAGCCCTTCCCGCCCCACTAATTGCCCACCTTAATTCCCCTGTAAGGTCCTTAGCGTAATCCCCCCCAAATAGACCAGCCTTTCCGCTCTAATTCCCCAGAGGCCCGGCAGGACAGTACCCAGGGGTGCCCTGGGGGGCAGGGGCTCAGCTGGCTGGCCCTTGGGGATTTGGGGGGCCCCAGGCAGGGTGCAGAGACCCTCCTGCCCTCCAAGCTTCCCCCTTGCCCAGCCCACCGAGCCGTACCCGGCACTGGGGTGGGATGGGGTGCAGCGTTTGCCTCCAGTGCTCACGAGATGAGCCTCCACCCACCGGCATATGGGGTCTCGCCGGCACCGGCGCTGGCATGCACCCGCCTGCCCGCGATGCGCCCGGGGTCCCGCAGCCGGATCAGTCCCCTGCACGGGCAGACCCCGCCGGCGGTGCTGCCTTACACCAGGCAGGATCCGGCTCTGCCCGTACTCCCAGTGACAGGGTTAAAGCCCGACCCGGTGGCGCGGGTGGTACCTGGGAGGTGCTCGCTCCATTAATTCTGGCACGTGAGGAGAGCAGGACTGAGAAGAGATTAGATATTAACCCGGCCAGTGCCTCCCACCCGGCGGGCACCCGTCCCTGGGGGCTTCCAGGGCCGGATCCCAGCCCGGGGCCCTTCGCCGGGGCTGGAGGGGCCACGGGGCAGGGGGGCTCAGCTGGCAAGGGCAGCGTTTGGCAGGAGCTCTGGCCATGCTTGCAGCAGGCCGGGACTGCCACCGGCCCCCCCTTCGCCAACCGGTGCTTATTTACTTGGAGAGGGAGGTGGAAACGTGCTGACCGCGTCCGCCGGCGGCGAGGGGCTCCGGTCTGGACAGAACCGGCTCGGGTGGAAAACAGCTCCCCAGCCCTGGCCAGAGCAGTAGCAACTGCAGGAAGGCAGCAGGGAGGGCAAGCGGGACCCCCCCGGCCCCAGGTACGGCCCCCCCCAGCTCCAGGTACGGCTCTCGCCTTCCCGAGGTGAGCCACCGTGGCTGGCCGAGCAGGAGCTGCCACGGAGCCGGGGTTCAGTCGGCCATACCACCGTGCCAGCCCTGCCGCCGTGCCAGCCACGCCAGCACCCGGCCCTGCGGCTCCGTAGGAAAGGTAAGCCTGGAAAAAATGCGCCCGGCGTGCTGATGTTTTCAGAGTGAGCCAGCGGGGAAGCCTGGCCCAGGTCCCGATGCCGTGCTGAGCTGCATCCCAGCCCCTCAGTGCAGCTGCTGTGCCAGGGGGACCGTCTCTGCCCAGTCCCACCGTGTGGACCGCAGTCCCCAGCCCGCCCGGGGCACCAGGGAACTGGGACCGGGCTTTGCCCTCGCCGAAAGGGCTGCGCCAGGCACCAAACACCCTGGCACGCAGCCACAGGAGGGGACCGAGGGCAGCCGGTCCCTCGCAGCCCACGGTTGGTCCCTGCGAGGCAGCCAGCACATGGTGGCATCACACCCAACCTACCCCGCAGCCGCCTCACTGGAGGGGTGTTTCTGTAGGACCTACAGAAACCCCAGGGGCGCGCAGCAAGGGCTGGAAAGCCGGGAGGGTCCCCACAGGAAGGGGGGAAGAAATCACCCGCCATGGGAGGGGGACGCGAGGGCGAAAGCCGTGCGGCCGTAGGGCAGCCTCAGCGGGACGGATGCCTGCCAGCGGCCCCACGGCGGGTGCGGGGGTCGCGGGGGGGCTCGTGCTGAATCAGCAGCCGGGAAACCCGCCGGCCCCGCGCGGTGGAAGGAAGCAGCCGGCAGGAAGCCGCGTGCAGCGCGGCCTCACCGTAGACCGGGGCCCAGGTCATCGCCGGCGCGGGGGCGGCAGGGCAGCTGGCCTGAGCTCCCCACACTGGTTATCCAAGGCTGAGCCTTTGCCGGAGAGTGGGGGCTACTGCCAGGCCCTGCGAGTCTGACTCCGTGGGGAAACTGAGGCACAAGAGGCCACTGCAGAGCCCTTCCGACTACATCGCCCCGCTCCGGCAGCCGTGCGAGAGCACACGCGTGTGCACGTGCCCCGGCGGGGAAGGATGATCCTCCCCCAAACTCCGTCCTGAAGCCAGACGCTCTTTAGGAAGAAGAAGGGCAGGAGGGTGGGTGGCCCCAGCGCCAGAGGGATGGCACCAGCGGGTGCAGCACCCAGCCCAGACATGCCGTCTCCTCCCCGTCGGCTCCGGCGGGTGCCGGTCCTCGTGCCACGGGTGCTGCCGGCTCTGGCTCTGCCTCCCTTTCTCCTCGGATTGTTTTCATCCCGGCCCGAGGTTGGGGGAGGACCTGCCGGAGGCGCGTTGAACTTTCGTCCGCATCCTTCAGCCTCTTGCTTCACCCTCCCAAAATAGCAGCGCCTGCCTGGAAACCTCCCCTGGGGCTGGCAGGGCCCTGGTCCCCCAGGGCACCCCGAGCCTCTAAGGGCTCTTCCCCATCCCCAAACCCCAGGGATGGGGTGACTGCGAGGTGCCCATGCCCAGCTCCAGGGTGCACGGCCACCCCCACCAGGACAGGGACCACCGAGCCCCATCTGTCCACTGCCCCCAAGCCGGGGCTGATCTGGGCCCCCGGCCCCTCGCAGAAAGGGCTTTTCTAGGCCCCTGCCACCCTGCCAAGGGCTCCAGCTTTAGCCGTCAGCTGACATTCCTCCGGGAGGCCCCTCCAGGCCTCGGGGCTTCCCGGCGGGAGCCGGGGGGTATCCTTACGCTGCGTGGCGGCCCAAGGAGCCCCGCTCCCGGCTCCCACCCCAGGAGCCCACCCACCGGCCCAGCACTGAGAGGAGGTCAGTGCGAGACCCCGTGTTGGTGATGCTGCCCCGGCACAGCCCCCCCGCTCCGGCCCGCGCAGTCCCCCCGAGCTCAGCAGGACCGAGCCGACCCGGCTCCTCCGACCTGAGACCCCACAGACTCATTCCACCGATGACCAGGTGGGCTCCCACGCCAATCCCCCCTTGGTCCAACACC